AATCAAATGATAATTATTTGATTATGATTATAAGAATCTAGATATTCTATTATTCCATTATATTAGTATTTATTATATTTTTGTAATAAAAATTAATAAAAAAAAATTCTCGTATAATACCTTGAAACCTATTTAAAAATTAAAAGTTAACTTTTACATAGTAATATAGCCAAGTTTAACGTTTTAATTTTGAGAGACTACCCCCTCACTACCAACCCCTAATTAATATTACAATACGTATATTACAAGTACAATTATAGGCATGATTTAAAATGTCTCGTATTTTTAAAAAATAAATCCGGGATCCCTTATACACGCGACTTACGTACATTGCATCTACTGTCGCCAAAACGATTTTCAAGTGAAAGAAAATTACGTACGTATATAGACTAGCACCAGGGCCGTCCTTTCGCAGGGGCGAATAGGTGACTCTGACTAGCACGTTGTATCTGTCTATGTTCGTTCGACGCACACTTTATTATGCTGATCGTATTGAAATATAATTATCATTCTACTACTTCATACGTATAATATGTGTTACATTATCGACGTTTTATTGAACAATGGGCAATATGTGGAATTCTCAGGAAATCAATGAAAGTCCGTTCTAAGTGTTTTATTACTTTTCCACGGTAATGTTGTATTACTACGTTTATTAGTTATTATTTATTACGTTTCAATATTATCATAAACCGTACACAGATGATTCGGACGAACCAATGACCTCTTGCAGAATGTCTACTGCGGTGCCCTAAGTAGTACAATTATTTACTTACCGTTTTCACGCGCAATTGTTTTACACCTGTATAGTTTAATATAATAAATATTGCACCAGTTATGTTTTAGCGCAATTTCAAATTGTTCAATTTTACTTGCAATTATTTTCCCGACCTATACTTTTCAAATACTCATACATTTCACTTACCTTGCTTGGTTTTAACTTGGAAAAATTACTTTAAAATATTTTGGTTAGTTAAAAAGATAAATTGTTGATGTTATTTCTTCTACAATACTACATGTTTAATATACACTGTTTTTTTAGATCCCGGGGGAAACGAGGAATTCATTGGTTTCAGTAGTATATGTTTTGTTTGTTTTGTTTTTATTTGTGTCCGATTTCGACTAGAAGATTTCCAGATTTCTCCAATTATCACCAAACCAGAAGTAAAAGATAGAAAATGGGTTCTAATTGGAATTCTATGGGGATAATTTATAGCATTTATCAATAGTTATATTCCAAATAATTGAAAACGCCTTGCTCCTATTATTTTTTTATTTTTTTTTTTTTTTTCACTGGTAATTTTTACTTACTATTTAAAACTGTAGGTGTTCTCAAAACGATTATTATTTTTGTCTTTAATTAGTAAAGTGTTATAGTAATATTATAATAAATATATCAAAAATAGTCAGCATTGAATTGGTTGTAGACTATATAACAACAGCAAAACGTAAAAGGTGTGCATGTTTAAGTCGTACACACTTTAGAGGTACTTTACGATAAAGTCAATCGACTCGTTTTTTAGTATCACGTTCGCAACAAATAACATTACACGTAAAACTCATTAAGTACAATAGAAAAATAATTAATTACAAATTAATGAATATTTGCACGAAAACTTGTATATTATTTACATATTGAATAAAATCGAAAATGTTAAACGATTTCTGTTACAACGTTATACTCGTATGTATATGAAGTACATAATGTGTATTATAATATAGTTTATACCGCATGCGTATGTTTTACGTTTACGTGTACCTACATTAATGCTGTATTAAAATACAATTTTCGTTGTTTATTTTGCCGATTATATATAATGAAGTTATTAAGTAGATGATTCTATTAAAATTGAATTAACGAAAACGGTATATAAAATGCTGTGGGATCGTATGAACAGTGTACACATATACCTATACAAATGTGTGATACAGCTGTTTCGTGAAATTAAACCAGGTGCTCTGGGCTCTTGGACCAAGAATCATCCATATAATAATTCATGCAAAGGTAAAAATTGAAAATATTACCTTTTCGACCTGCAGTCGCGCACGTCCATGAAACGTAAACGTATAATCAGTATATCGTAATATAAGCTTTTTTTTTTTTTTAATGGTTTCGTCAATTCGTTTACTAAACGCATGAACATTAACTGTACGGTAACAAAAAATTAAATTAAAAAGGTACCTCTAATCACTTGATTTCATTGGCTCCCGGGATATTATTATACACCGGCGCACCAAAACCGGATATTTAATACCATACGTAATAATACAATATCATACGAATACAGTGTACATGATGCGTAAATGTCATAAATCCACCCCAAACCACGGTTGCCGCCATTCGAGAGGTTGGGCGTCCAGATAAAACGCTGCTCGCATTAACTATGCAATGGGCTGTATGTGAACTGCGGGGAAAAAAATGAATTAATTAATATTACCACTAGAAAAACGATACGATACATTATACAAACTGCAGCGGTTTATTTTGCATATCCGGTTCAAGATTATGTACCAAAAATGATTTTTCTCATTGAGCAACGTTTTCGTCGTTCAACACCAATTGAGGCATAACATGTTTAATTTTCAGAGCATTCCCACGTTTTATAGCCGTTTTTTGGATTTATATTTATATTTAAAACCGTTCAACACTATCGATTGTTTGCCATTTTGTCTAAACGTTCTTGTCAATTCCATATTATATTAAATTTTAACGACACGACACTCCTTACTACCTACTTCTTCTACCGCATCTAACACTATTAATACTAACTAATATCATCACAAGTAAAGGAACCGGTGGTACGAAGTACGTTGTTCTTAAGAACATTTGAATTTAATTACTTGTAACATGCAGACGTGAACGATGTACGACGTTCGTACTATAAATGTTACGATTACGGTGAAAGACGATAATTTTTAAAATACATCATTTACCGGCAATTGACGTCTTTTACCAAAATGATTTAATTATTTATTTAAATATTGTATAAAGGAGTATTTTAAATTCAAATTTACTACTTTCACCAGTCAATTACGTAATTTAGTAAGAGTGTTGATAAACGATGATCAATCTCATAGTTTTCGTAATAATTAACAAAATAATTATAATGTTATGTCAACGCGCATGAATTAATAACAATTATTCTTCGTAAGGGAACCCTGCTGGAATCAATCCTATCCTTGCTCTCACTTTATATCATTCAATAGCTCACGTGAGTTTATGCCCGATTTTGTTGGAACTGCACACATTTTAATGCCGTTAGTCAGTCTTTCGATTTATTATTAATAATAAGATATGCAATAAAATTCATTTTTTAAATTTTTATAATTTATATAAATACTTATAGTCGTGTACAAGTACAACACGCACGAGTTATCCGTCAACACGTTAACTTGAATGCTTGCGATATTACTCTGAGCGTAATTATAGTATCGACTGTGAACGCTGCGAACACTGACGGATGCTGGCGTACGTTGTCTTCGGAAATTTTGCTCAGTGCGCCATTCGTAAGCGTTGTTTGCTCTTGGATTTATGCGTATTTATATGTATACAAAAATAAAATAAACCATCATATAGGAATTCTGCATCTCTATTAACTCGCCCATCGACAACATCAGCATACTAATACGGTATTTGCAAGGCTCTGTTCAGTGGCGAATTACGGAGCAGGCTAAAAGGCTTATAGCCCAGGGCGACTTTTTTGGGAGGGCGGCTTTTTTTTTTATAGAATTAATTGTTATTATTAACTTATTAGGTATATTTATCTTAATAATTTTTTTTTTATATTTGTCATATAAACACGAATAAAAATAATTTTAAAAATTTATAATAATATATTAATATGTACATTGTATGATGCGTACCTATAGGCTATAGTAAGAATATTACAATTATTATTACAATTTGAAAATATTTTATTTGTAATAAAATAACTACAGTTAGTTACTAGTTAGTACTAATAAATTATTAGTACCTATGTTATAGGAGAAATATCCGACTATCCGAGTATAGGTATTTACATATCTGACTATTTATATTTCCGTTATGTGACTGTATAAGCATTGTTTATTAGCACTGGTAATAATAGTATCTGAAGTAAAATAATAGACATGAAATATTTTATTTTTAGAAGTTTTCTATTTTAAAGATTTAATATTTTTTTTTTTTTATTTATTTTATAAAAAAACTGAATAAAATTTGAAGAAAAGGGTGTAGACCAAATATTGTTGGTTCCTTAGTAGAGTGATAGGAGGGGGGCAGAGCAATTAAGCCTAGGGGCGCTAAAATGCTAAATCCGCCAATGGCTCTGTTATGCTCAAACATACCACTTCCTTTAAATTATCTCAACAGTCTTTTCAATAATTTCTAGAGAAGTATACAAATAAAATTACGTTGCGTAAGAAGTATGTTACATGGTGACCATTCGTCCAGGACTTCCCGAGTTGATATCGATCAAGGAACCAACGTCCTGACAATGTTTATCGCGACATCGTAATGTACAGGTTCATATAATGTTTAAAGAGTTTAAAACTATTTTTATAATATTCGTATACTTGCTCACTAATCGGTTTTATTTTGAACAAAACCTTTATGCAAGTATTTAATATTAATATTTATAATATGTTTATCCCGTGAAACATGTGGTTAGAAACTGTATGTTTGTCCTTAGTGACTCAATCAGGATTTATTTTCGAAGAGAAGAGGGGGACGGGAATTGATAATTTTAAAAAAATGTAACTGTTTGTTGGTGGGGAAAATGGGTAAAGATTAAGTTAGCTACTTATTTCCGGTGGTTACTATTTGTTACTATTGAACAAATACAAAATACAAAACCTTTAATAATTTATCTAAAGATTAGTTAAAACCAAAAAACTCTAAGACTTTGAGACTTCAATAATTAAGCAGATTTTAATTCTTGTTGTAAAAAAAAAACAATAAATATTTAGTAGACATTGTGTTTAAATTCGAATTGTTCTATCACGATTAGTTTGAACTGTAATTAATTTGTTATTTGAGTGATAAGAGCGGTTCCTTTGAGGATCCAATAGTTTTCCGGGAAATCTGTGGGTAATAAAACAGATATTATGAAATTAGTACTATGTCCAGTAGTTGAAAGAACCCCGGCTCTGATAGAAGTTTTATATAGAGGACAATTATATCGTAGATCATTTTCATCTAATTTTACGGTTGGCACTAGTCGTATAACAGGCAGCGGAGGATACATGTCTCCTAGAATATATAATACACATATTGTAAATTTAGTTTTACGTTTTAAAATAAAATATGATTATTACCAGGAATAGGATCCACGAGACGATTGGTTTCCATGTCAATACGACCGGCATCCAAGAACAGTCCGTGTACGTAAACTCCGTCATTTTGTTTTATTAGACCCTTGTAAGCGGAATAATCCTCTTTCAAGCTAACTGCATGTACATCGGCGATTTCTTCTTGAACCAACACGGTACTGGTAAGCTCAAAATCGACTTTTAAAGTGTCGATGGGTATGCTGTATTTTCTGGCATGTCTTTGTAAACATCCAGTCATAAAACCTTGAGGAAAATATAAACCAGATATCCAGTAAGAAGGCGGGCTTCCAAACTTCATCCACATCTAAAACATTTTCAATAAATTTGAACCATAAAACTTACATGAACTTTAACAAGTATGTAAAACACAACTTACATCAATGAAGTCTAATCTTAGTATTAGATCTTTAACCCAACTACCCAAAGTCTTCAATGAAGGATATGCTTTTTTAATCCATAGTTTTGGTAACTGTAAATTTTTTTTGTGTATTTGTAATAAAAAAAAATTATAACGTATGTATTGTAATATCTTACACTATTATTCATAAACGATAAGTAAACTCCTTCTAATTCAGCAGACATAACCACAAGTCCTTTGATAGCTTTACGTAAATCGTTCAGTGAATTATGTAATACGTCAAGTAATTTGTTAAAACGTTCGATCTCTTGTAATAGAACTGTAGATAATGAAGGTAATCGTCCCTTGTCGTCCGTTTCCATTATTGTGAAATGTGCGTGATCGATGTTTATAGTTTTCATGAGTCGCCCGGAAATATCAATGATCATTTCCAAAACAATTTCATCATCGGATTTGCCAGCATTATCTGTTTGTGATTTCGGATACGCCTCAAGGATTGTTGACAGGATATCATGGGTCTCTTTAGCCTTACAAAAGAAATAACTCCTTGGAATTACATTTATTTTAAAAGAAACCATCATACTTGATATGCAATGTTGGCATTTTCATGCATTCCGAATATTTCTGGCTCCTCGACTAATGGTAATTGATCAATAAATATTAGATAGTCGTCGATAGTGGTACAGTTTATTGATTCCGGACAAAAATAAATACCCGATTTCGAGTATTGATAGTCTAAAATGTAAATATATAGTATTACAAATTATTTTTGTATTTACAAATACGTTTATAATGATTCGTTGTTATTTACTTGACTCAAGAGTATGTGGACCAAAGAAATTCCAAAGCACCGATTTCAAAGTTCGTTGATCCCAAGAATCAGTTACTCTGCCACCATAGTTTATCTCGCCAGTGATATATTGCAAGGCATCCCAAGGTATTGCATTCGCAGTTGAACAGTACATATGTAATAATAGCATTGCACATTCACGGTCACTATCGGTAAATGAATATGATATGTTCCAACCGAGTGATCCAAATTTCTTTCTTTCCAAAATGATGGCGTGGAAAAAACACAGCCCAAAGACCATTTTTCTCCAATCAGATTTAAAAACTATCATAAAATAAATTCTAAAAATATTTTATTAAACTAAAACTATGAATTTTACCATTATCTTGAAAGAAATTGATGTTCATGTCAACAAATGATTTTTTTAGATTTGCTTTTAAACCTTTTGGTGATTCATTTGTAACTTTTAACGAATTTTGTAGTACGAAAGTAGGAAAACTTTTTGATGGCATTGAGCTGAAAAACAGTCTGAAATTTTTGTTGACTTTTGCCGAATTTTCTATCAATTCTCGAACTAAATTTTCCATTTGAAGCATCCACGAAGATGCTAAATGACAGTTCTGCAAATAGTTATAAAAAATGTACATATTATGCAAAAATGTCATTATCATAGTGATAATTTAATGATTTTATTATTAAATAATAAATAATATAATTTTATTATTTAATTTAATCTTATATGAACATCAAACTATGGTGAGACCATTTAAAAAATACACATTAACTATTGTGCCATGTTATGGCTCTATAAAAAAATATGATTAACCGAGGTCTTGTTGAAGCTGATCTTGATGTGTTATATTTTCAATTAATCTGTTCATATTTTAGAAAGTTATGGCCCATTAAATAATTAATTATATTATTACTTGTAAGAAAATCCAGTCTCCTTTTTTTTTGCCTTCTCTAATTAGTTTTTCTGCACTAGGTCCTTGACCCTGGCCCAATGATATTGCATGTAATTTATCTGACATCCCTAATTCCACAGCAAACTTTTGGAATGCTATAAATGGATCTGAGCCTGGACTAAGTATGAAAACCAATGGCATCGTAGAAGATATATCTTTGTATAATAAATTAATCGAAACTCCTGGACTTTCGATAAACGATTTCCCAAGTTCAGTGATCACGTAGTTACTGATTGCGAAAATTAATTTTTCCTCTTTGAATGCTTTAATAACCATAATTTTTTCAAACGAGCTTAGCTCAGGGTTCCAGTTTACCACCGTGTCATTGTTCTCAAGGTCCAATTGAATGTGTTGGATAAAGTCACCTAGTTCAATTTTCATCATCTTGGTGCAGTTTGCGGGGAGATTTTTAAATTTGGGAAACACTTCTGACATATAGTTCACACATTTCCACATTTCTTCGGTCAATGCGACTACCGGGGGCTTTTCTGTAATAACTCGTTTAGATGATCCGACTGGTCCGCGTAGCACAAAATTCCATTGTGAATTTGTAATTTTACCGGCTTGCAAATTTATGTGTACACTGACCAAGAAAGTAAATACCAATTTATGGCGTTCAAATAAGCCTCTAGAAATATTTGTATACACATCCATGGTTATATCATTAATCATGTTTACTATTTTCATGTCAATTTTAACATTTTTAGGACTGTTTTCAATCACATTACAAAATATCTAAAATTAAAAGAATTAGTCAACCAGTAGAATAAAAATACTATAATTGCTTTTTATAACTTACGGAATTGAAGTAATTTAAAGAAAATTGGTACATTGTGTCAATTTCAGACAGTTGTGCTACAACAAAGTAAAGGCATGAACCCCGATTTGCAACCGCACGATAACGCTCTCGTTCGATACTAGTTCTTTGTTCGGTTTCCTCTGCGTCGATTAATCGTCCAGCGATAGTTATTGATGTTTCCTGAAAATTATATTACATATTATACATAAAATAATTAAATAAATAAATGTTATGGACATTTATTTAGTATACCTTGCTGTTGTTAAGTGTCTCAATAAGCTCTTCATCATCTAATATGTTTCCTTTTGCCATATTCAACATTCTCAATGTTTTATCTTCCATTTCCTTCAATAAGTTGTTGTCAGTGTTAATACTAACAATAGTTTGAGTCCGTTTTTCTTCTAAATCAGGTCTTTCTAATCGCACAACATCTCTGCAAATATTAATATTGTACGTGTAGTATACAATTGTTTTGTTTGTTAAAATATAGCTATGATTATTTACACCAATAATTGGTCTTCTAATCCTGATGGTGTTACCGTAAAGTTTACCAATGTGACTTGGATACAAATATCTGGTAAATAATGCGGATTTGCCAATTTGGTTGTCATATATAATCTGAACTGATCATCATATTCTATATCGGTATTACCTACGCGCATCAGAGGTCGACCGCCCTGATTATACAATTACAAATTATCAACGATGTTTAAATTGCAATAATAATTACAAGTTACTTGTATGAATATATTATTTTCCAATACGGGTCTCAGTGTAGGATCAATGTCTTCTTCTAAACCTTCGATCAAAACTGGGTACCCTAGTCTTATTGCATTAACAATTACATTCATTATGTCTGAATCTGTACTTTTGCATAATCTTAGTGAATTGTCAGCTTCTAATAGTTTAATCCACCTGTATGCCTGTTCTTGGGGATCTATCATCAGAGGTCTCCGACTTGCTCTGGTAACTATTATCGCACTGTCCGTTGATACTGAATCTCTGGGGAGACCGCAAATATTCCATGACCGTAATTCAAATGAATCTATTAGTATAGAGCTCAATGAATAATTCGAAGAAAACTTTATACTGTGTTGTGCTAATTGCTGAAGCCACGACCTAGTTATTTCTTTACGAAAAGAATCTGTAAAAGGTCCTAAGTAATTAACACTCCCTGCAGCTACTAAAGTGTCACCAGTAACGGTTAACAGAAGTTGGGATAACATCTAAAATAAAACAAATCGTAAATAAAATCAAAGCCAAAATATACACACAAATATTATGATAATATACTTTAATATTATTTTCCCATCTTTTTTGTTCATCACTCAAAGCAGCAACAAGTAAATCAGATCGTCCTAACCGTGCTTGCGTTCTATTTATATTTGCTTCCAGTTTGCTTTTTTCCAAAACGTTTTCATTATAAGTATTTTCTAGTTTTTGTAGGCGTTCTTCGACTTCAGCTAACATTTCTTGCTTTGTCTTAAGTTCTGTTAGTACGATATTTAGTTCCTGTTCGGCTTCTTTTTGTCTATTGAATTACAACGTTTTGAGAATACATAATATTTTTAATCAGAACAAATAAATAAAGTGCGGTTTATTTTTTTTAGTTCCCAAATTATGAAATCATCAAATCAATCAATTTGCAAGGATTAAATATTTTTAGTTCATTTTTATAAGAAATTATAAAATTGAAATGGATTTATACAATAAAGTATTAATATACAAATTATCAACCACTATAATAGTAAATAATTCATTTTTGTGGTCTATCGCTAATTCATGGACGATTAACTAATAAAAAATCTTTGTTAAATAAATTACTAGGATACTTACTTTCTTATTTTTGGTTCAACTATTCGATATACTAAGGAATAACTATGAACAGCTCGAACCCACATACACATTGATTTAGCCACCTTAGATTGGGTAGCAACTATTTTTGGATTAAAATCCGGATTTTCTATGTAAGGTGTAATTTGATTTATCATTTTATCAGATATATTATCTGTATCATAATTCTGTAGAGTTTTAAGGAAATTGACATCTCCTAATACCATTTTGGCAGAAGCCCAATCAGGTCTATGAAAAATAATGTTTACACAATTATTACGTATATTTAATACATAATAAATACGATATCTGATTACTTTTTCTCCAATAATAAGCATACGGCTTCCATCACGGTTTGTACAAGTTTTGGAGGCTTATTGAATACTCTAAGCTCAATAATATCATTTTTCTTTAAGGCATTTAATGCTTTCTTAGCAGCTTCCATGGCTGGCATTGCTAATATTAAATCTTTTTGGGCGTCTTCCGCTATTTCTTGTGCAGCAGCCGCTTTTATTTTGGCTTCTTCTTCTTCTGCAACCACTACTTTACGAACTTTATCGACGCTTGCCTTTTCTATTACTAAACCATCCATTAATTTAAGCGTAGCTGTATTTTTTTCTAATAATTCTGGTTCCATGGCTTTTAATGTGATTTTCATGTCTTCGATCGTACCATAAGTTTCATATAATTTGTGCAATCCATTTGATATTCTGTCTGAATCATTTTGTATTTTATTGGTTTGATGTTCATGCATTTGTAAGTATAGTTTTAAAAATTCCAAATAACTTTTCGGTGTTACATAGTAATATCGTTTCATTTGTTCATAAAACAATTTTGTTGACAGACTAACTATTTCATGCATATTATTACAAACTTTTGCTAGATTATTAACGATACTGGAATCTTTTGATTGTTTAAACCTCTCTAAGCTTTTATTAGCTACGGATAAAAGAGCTTCGGTTGGCCAATCATCAAACCAGTCTATAGTCGAGTTATTTACTAACGAAGGAAATAAACGACATCTTCGTCTAAATGAATCACCAATTGGACTCATAGATATAACAAGATGGAGTTTTGAACGTACTCGTTGTATAAAAAATTTAAAAATAGCATCTCGGTTGTTACTATCGATCCCTGAATCAATGGCTGCAGGTCGACAAGCTGTCAGAACTTTTTCTAAATCCTCAAGCTTGAATAAATTTGGTACTTCCCCTTTTAGAAAATTGAAATATCAAACTATACTTTATTTATTACAACAAATTATGAACATTTACCTGAACTTAGAATATTATTTATATCCTCTAAAAATTCCTCTTTTATTATTTGATTATCAGTGAATAAAAATGTAGTGTCTTCAAATTCAGCTCCAGTTTTATAATATAGATTCACTAAATCTTCATGGAAAGTAGTATAGTCATATGTTTTTGTTAGTTCAATTTGAAAACATCTAATTTTTATAACATGAAATGTTAAAATATAAATACATGTATTTTACGTGTTGGTAAATATATAATACTTGTAAGTGTTAAGATGTGAAGCTAGTTTAGTCAATGATTGTTTGCCCATTCCACTTAGTCCTACAAGTAAAGCATTTCCTCTTTCAGATCTCAATATTCTAGCAATTCGTGTAATGTGCTCAATTGCATCCATAAAAAATATGATTTGCAAGTCTTTATAATAAACCATATTAAAATCCATTAAATTTTCTATCAATACTATTTTTAATTTTTCAATGTTTATTATTTCTTCGTAAATCCTTTCTTCTTTTAAAACTGGAAGCATAAAATCACCAAATAACAATATTGGAGGCCGTGTTGAATTGTTGTCAGTTGTAGAAAATTCCAACTCAAAATTATCAAAATATTGTGTGCATATATCTTTAAGAAGTTTGTGAAAATATAATCTATCTTCCTGGCAAACTAAACGATCGTGATATATACGTAATGTTTCGTGATACCATAATCTGAAAGAAAAACAAAACAAATTGTAGTTAACTTATAACACGAAAGGATTCATATTATACCTATATAAATTTGACGGATTTGGTATTGATGTGATATCGGTTTGCAAAATTCCTTGTATGGTTTTCGACAAATCTCTGAGATTGAATACGTAATGGGACTTTGCTGGAGTTGGTAGCAGATGTTCTGATATATGCGAATAAACTGCTATACTAGCTTGTACAATGGCTATGCTCAAATTAGCAATTTTTTGTGGAAACTCTACAAGAAAACCATCTAAAATTGATGTAAATATAGTTCTCATAGCGTTTTCACTCGTCGTGGGAATGAATATCATAGAAAAATGCCTAGTGAATCTTGAAGTTAATGGATTTCTACCTCCTCCTGGGGGTGCACATATCGTGCATAAAATAACATCAGATATGTTTTTCCAACTTAATTTTTCTCGGTCATAAAAGCCACCACTGTCTATGAGCTGCCTTAGTAATTCAATAGGAGGTTGAGCTCCAAATACTTCTGGTTTGGGCATGTTGACATCGTCAATAAAAATAGCTAATCGCTTATTTCCCGGTGCACCATAGTGATTTCGTTTTTTCTTTTCCAACTTCGATTCCAATATTTCTTGTGTTCTATTACTACTGGTTTGTGCCGAAAAATTAATCATCGCAGTGACCCAATCATTTGTCTTTGTTAGATTTTGCATAACGAAATTGGCTACCGACGTCTTACCAACCCCTAACATCATAATAGTTTAACAAATATTTACAAACATTAAATTATACATTATAATTGTAATTGTTCTAACCTGATACTCCAGTTATCATCACTGGTTGGTTCATTTGAATTAGTTTTTGCATAACATAGGAGTATCGAATACTATCTACTGTTGGTACTAACAACTCAAAATAGGGAGTGTCTTTATTGTACTCAAAACCGGGAACAATAGAACTCCAATTTTCAAATGTTTTATTAACTGTGTGCAGGTATACATTTAATAATTTAATTTCGGACGATATATTAGCATCGGTATTGTCTTTGAATTGATTGAAAACCAACTCCTCGAATTTAATCTGAGAAGAATCAATTAAATTTGATCCCAAAGACCACAGATATGAAAATATGAAGGACTGGCAAATGTATTCTTTAACTTTTTTATTTTCTGTCTCCGCATCAAAACTATCAGGATCATTTAAAAGGGATTCGAGAATTGCACACATCATTGTTGCTTTACTAATTTTGGCCTGAAATAGTATTCAAGTAAATGTTTTCATGTAAATGATTATAGTTTACATCAGTATACCTGTTTAATTGGAGCCAAACAGTGTTTGTCAATAAACAAAAAGCCTTCATTTATGTGAGTTTCGATTAACACCAACAGATAATTCTTTAGTTCTATGTTATTCATAATGACATTATTTTTCAATTTATTTACCCACGAACGAACATAAGGTAGCCACCCTAATTCATTTGGATCTATATAAACCATTCCACACCTACTGACTGTAGCAGGTGACGCTTGTGATAAATCACCAACTTCAAAAATCATTCTAACCTATAAATTATTTATGTTAAAACCGTCGATTTTATTAAATCAACGACAAAACAATAATTTATTTTCTAGCATTCAAATGTTATAACGTTTACCCATGAACTCAATTTTATACGTTCTGAATTTGCCAAACATAACATTTTATTGTCATCAAGCACGGTGTTAAGATTTTCGATCCATATTGCATCTACAGGACCGTCACACACTACCCATTGAAACTCTTCCTTCGTTATTTTAATAGTTTCTCTAACAAATTTTCCAAGTAATCCATCTTTCCATTCCATTGTTAAGATATTCACTTCACCGTAAAGTTCAGCCATAGTAATAGCTTTAGGATTTAATTGGTATACTTTCACTGGTCTATAATACTGTTCTTTCACTTTATTATTATAAAGCTCTGTTAATGTTTTGCTAAGTATTTTTAAAACAGTGGTTTTCCCACCACCTGTTGGACCAACTGTCATGATACCATGCCTGACAATTATTGTCTCTAATAACTGTATAACTTTAACATAAATACATTCTTCGATTTGATACCCTTCATTTTCCATAATCGTTTTAGTAGTAGAGAGAAACATCCCATAATCTTGTTCAGGTAAGATAACACCAGGGAAAAGATCATTCAATATACCCTAAATATTAAAATTATTTTATAAAGCTATATTTTGATTAATCACTAAATTCTACTTTATACCTGGAATAACACAGCGTCGTCCTTTAAGAATTTAGGTAAATTACTATCTCTCAGTGCTCTAATTAAAACCAAATTTTCATTAATGAATGGGTTTTCGCGTTTTAAAGAACCTGCCATTACTAGAACGCTTTTCACAGCTCTATAATGTATAGAATAAATGTTTTGGTTATCAACCATATTATATTCCAGTAACTATAAATTATACCTCATTCCAAAATCGTAGTGATCCTGAATAGATAGTTGTTCGCTACACAATTTATACATGTTGACCATTTTTTGAGACAACATTTTTGATGATTCAAATCCTTCAGAATACAATATAACTTCGGCAATCAAGCCATAGTTAGGTACCATCATTGCCATGGGTCTAAATAAAGCTTGTAAATTATCTGGTAATTCGCTTCTCCCTGCATACCCAGGGTTCATTGTTATAAATGCTGCACAAGTCTTTATAAGTCTTATCTTCCGGCCTTCGAACATGAATTGGTTGACATTATTCAACTTTGCATTCATTATAGTAATTAACTGCTGCGCAATAACCGACAATACTTCGAGCTCTATGCGATTAAATTCATCAAAACAACACCAAGCTCCAGATTGAGCTAAGCCAGCGAAGAATTTACCCATCATCTATTAAATTAAACAATAGTTTAATAATAAATTTTGTGTGCGTTATAATTTTTCAACGCAGTGTAAACCTTGAAATCTAGTCCGTCAGAACAATTGAACACAACGCATTGTGTAGCTAATGCTTTAGCAAGGTCCTTAGTTGTTTCAGTTTTACCAGTACCAGCTGGCCCAGCAGGTGCACCACCTAAATTTAATTGTAATGCACCCAGCAAGCACAAGTAACATTTGTCGGTTAATGGTGTGATTACTAATCGAGGAGAAGAACCAAGGTATTCGAATGCATATAACCAGCGAGCATTTGCCATGTATGCAACACAACTGTCCACAGAATCCCAATAATAACGTAGTTGTTTTAGCCATTCGAAGTCTAAATCACTGTTTACTTCCCGAACGACCATTGTAGATATTATATCTCTAGCATGGACATCGATAGTAATCAATGCACATATAACCGAACGTTGAAGTTTGGTTAAATGTCCTCGGACCATAGCCGCTAAATTATTAAGATCCTAAAGAAAAAATGTATTTTAAAACTGCCATTATATTCTATGTATTTTAATTTTTCTATACTCATTCTAATACAAATACTGACTTTAAAACATTTTTGCTCAAATTCAACTAAAGCTGTTTGTACGTTGGAATCAAGTTTAAGAATGTAATGCACATCACGACACCACATCAACTGGGAGACTGTCAGGACTATCTGTAAGGTTTACTTCATAAGGTACATTTTCAATAAAATTAGTGATGGCGTTTTAACCTGAGAAGCGTGTAATAAAACCCATTCTTCTCTTAGATGGTTATCATAATCTTCAATAGCCATAAACATAAGTGATCGAAGTGAATTCGTCATTTCTGTTTCTACCTTAGATAACCAAAATTCAACATTCCCTCGTGCTTTAACCTGCGACAAGAATTTTACAACTTCCCTTTCGGGAGATATCATCGCAATAATGTTGGTCGGTGAATCATCTTGTCCTTTTATTATTTGTAATGGGTTTCCTTCTTCATCATCTTTTTCAAACTGTACTCTCCAAATTGCATCAAAACATTTACCCATATATGGTTGTACAGCTCTAGTATTCCGCGTTTGAGTAATTATTTCAATAAGCTCGTCGTTCGACAAAAAATAAAATCTCGGGAACACTACACGTTTTGTTTCTAAGTACGCTTCTAAGTACATTAAGATTTCTTCTAACTGTCTATTGTTTTTTTTAAGAGCTTCTAATAGACCAGGCTGAGTACATGCACTTAAAGCCAATGGATTTTTGTCGGCATTTTGCATTATCGTTTTCCAAGAACTATCTACTTCATTAAATAATTTAGCTTCAACTGGAAGTTGCGTTTGGATGTCTGGAGCCGCAAATATAGACTCTAAATAAATCCAATTTTTCTGACATAATGTCCATTCCGTCTAAACAAATAATTTAACTTAATCAATTGCATTAATCTTAAATTTAATTTATATAAAATAGTTTGCATTTTTGTAACCAATAAAATTATAAAAATCATAAACATATACATATGATAGATTACTTACTAAGATATCATCCATAAGATCCATAGAAGCTTTCCATTCTTCAACTCTATTTTTGATTATTTTTACATGCTTTGCTGTTATTAAAGTGTTTATATTTATGTTTGCTTCTTCTAATGTTAATTGAACTTGTTCCAATGAACCAAGTATAAAAACACCAGGCATGTTTTTATAAGGAATTACAATTAAATCTATAAGCTTCCAAGAATCTTCAATTTTTTTCAACATCGCCAATAGAGCTGCCTCTGAGCTTGCCTGTCCAGAAACTTCCGTTAATTCAGTACCATAATTAAATGCATCTTCGTCTTCAAGTATACTTAAAGTAAGAGGCTGTTGAGTTGGAAATTTTGTCTGAAGTATGTTTTCAATTGTATTCCAATGATTAAATTTAAGATCTGGATTTCTCAATATTGATATAATTAACATTTTTTGTTTAAATGATTTCACTGCATTATCAATTTTATCAATCAGCTCCGAATTTGGAAGACCTAGTTTGAATTGCATTACATATTTTGAATTCAGTGCTATGAAAGTATTCATTTCTTCTACGTCCAAATTATGAAAATTGCCTTCATTCCATATAGACATTTTTTCTTCCCATTCATCTATACACTTCCAAAGCAATATTCTAAGTCTAACCGATTCACTTGCATTTTTTAATTCCTCAAATTTTGTCATTTCTACTCTAAAGAAATGCTGGTATGATGTGTACAAGTTTGCTTCTTTTCGGCTTTCAATTAAACGTTCGTTAAGTTTAGATAAGAATATTTGAACTTCTTCTTTATTTGAATTAATATCGGTTAACCAAGGTTGCTAAACAAAAAGAATAATGAAATACAGAATTTATTTTTTATTTAACATTATATGTTTATCGCAAACATGATTATAAATTAACACATTAGTATAAGTTTTTACACTAAAATATATTTTAAAAATAATACATTTGGTAACACTAATAAATTTATTTTGTGGTTTGATAAAATAAATAGTTATTTTATTTCTAATTATAGGCTTAAAAGTTAAAAGTGTATGTGTAATATAATGTGAATAATTCATAAGATCAGTTAGGTGTATCAAGGGTATTGACTTTAATTTTCGAACAATAACAGTCATTTTTAATAATTTTAGAATTTGTTATATTGATTTTGATATTGATTAACCAATAGGAAAGTTATCGTCTAACAAACGAAGGATTGAGATTCAATTATAGTTCAATCCTCTGTTTGAAAGCACTTCAGATAAAATTATACAATTTTTTTTTTATAAAATACCTACCTAGTTATTAATATGTTAATATATGTACCTTAATATTAAAAATGTGTGTATCTAATTTTTTTTAGGAAATTCCTTTGATATTATCTTATAATTAGAGTACGGATTTTGAATGCATTTGCTTTTTTTTTCTGCTGTTATAAATTTTAGAACATAGAATCTAAAATGATGTTATATCAGCTACAAATTTAATTTATACTACTTGGAATAAAATACGAGGCATTTTTTTTTTTTGTTTATTTGTGCTCTTTTTCGGTGTTTTGTGTATTTTTTTTTTTTTATTTATATCACATTTTTCAAATATTATAGCTTTTTTGGTTTTTTTGGATACCTTTTTTTGCTTCCAAGTTAAATTTTTTCAAAATGTTTACAATATTTTTACTCAATAAACGTATTTGAAATGTTAATATTTATTTTTTTGTGTTCCAAATATTTTTCAATCATTTTTTTGACAACCTTTCCCTTTGTGTTCAGATTGTCTTATATCGTATGGTATATTATAGATTAATTTATCTCGAAACGGTATTACACACAAAATTATGCTCTTGCTCTGGAAATTATCTACTCAGAATTACAGTTTAGTTTTCATTATAATACCATATAGTTATTCACGAAATTCCGAAAATGCATTTTTTTTTTATTTTTTTTTTTAAAAACATGCTTTTTTAAAACTTATTTGGAAGATTTACACAGATTTGTTGCTTTTTTTTTAGTGCTTTTCTTTAATTTTTTATTGTTTTAAAATCCGTACTCTATTTATAAAATATTAAGAAACAAAAATGTTTAACCCATTAATAATTTACTACTTAAAATTAAATTCTTATAAACAAAAAAATAGACTCCCTGGACCCCCCTCTCGTAAAACCATTACCATGTAATTAATATAAATATTTCTGAATGTTCATTTCTCCCGAAACAGGACTAAAGCCTATACGTTATAAAAAAAAAAAAATTAAAAAAAAAAACTATTACATTAGCTTCGATATTTATCTCGCGAACTTCTTGAAGCATGTCTTCAATTTGAATATTGACTATTTTGACAAATGCAGCAATAAGTTTCTCAGGTACATTATTAATTTCTTCTAATTCAGTTTGTAAATTAGATAATACACCCCAAAATTTCTAAAATTAAATATTATTAATAATTAAAATCAGTAATATGTTGTTATATATATATTGTAATGACAATACTTACATAATAATTTCCAATATCATCTTCGGGGACAGGTACTAAAAATTCATCGGCTAAGTCATAAATATCTCTTATGTAATTTGAAATATCATCTATTTCATCCAACTAAAAATTGCAAAAACTTATTTAATTTACATTAATTTTAATTATATATTTATACATTTTCCAGTACTTACCCTTTTAGAACATTTTTCCAAGAACTTTTTATACTCAACATGTTGTTCAGCAGTAATTGGTGTAGTAGAAAGATATTTAAGCGATTTTTTTACTTCTTCAAACAACTCTTTTACCAAATTTTTCCCTATTCTATAAATTCGATTACGATAAAATAATATACGTGTTCATTAATATATTGATATTTTTGAAGTAAAACACTTACTTGACCATTGTATTTTCTACCAATTTCATTAATTTTTCAGATGAAGATTTTGCAGTATTTTTGAATAAATTAAATTTTAAATTAAATATGGCTAACTTTTGTGTAAGTATAATTTTATCCACATCATCTTTTTGCCGTTTATATTTTTCTAAAAATTCTCTGAATTTTATTATACCTTGAAAAATAATATATCATATTGTATTACTATGTAATATACGATATAATTACGTTAATTTATTAAGTTATGCATTTTTATACTAGGTATTTTTAAGTTTTATATGATATGTATTTAATAATTACTAGTTTCATTCACAATGATTTTTCGGTCCAAATCTTCGTTTTCTTTATAAATGTTATAAATATTTTCTAGCCGTTTTAAGTATTTGTATAATACATCATAGTTTATAATAAAATATTGTAATATTTTTTCCGTTAAACTTTTATATTCTTCGTCAATATCGAAAAAGAACTTTAATAACCTACCATGGCCACATAATCGATCGTATTCTTTGCCACAAATGTTTGGTCTAAATCGTTGTTATTTATCATGGAATATTAATATTTGTACATACATTAAATATTTTAAACCTACTGAATAAAACATTTTAAATGGTCATCACTCAATAGAGGAAGAAAATCTGTGATTATATTCCATTTCCAACTTTCCAACAAAAACGAAATGTATGAGTAAAAATCGTGTTGTGTATTGTTGAACTCGATACCCGTTTTTGATAAGGAAACCTCTAATATAAATAGAGGCGACTAATTGAAATTTAAATAAAACATTACATAATGAATAAATAACATTCGATAATGATAGTATAACGATACCTTGGGATCGCCCAAAGACCTCTCGCTTTCTAGAACAGTTGTCACGTCATTATCGTTCAGTAAATCATCGCTAGGAATGTATTTGAAATGACTCCGTAAATTGGTCTCAAATCGCGTAATTTGATCTTGAATTATCATTTGTAACTCTGATTGTAACCTCAAATCAATTAACATAATAAAATGACAAATTCTCGAACAGCATTTAAGTTTGGCTCTTTGCTTTGCATACGGCATCGCGTACATAGTATCCCTGTAGCGCTCCTTCTCCTCGAACACAGATATTTGAGAAATATATAAATCTGAGTCGTCTACAGTAAACCCAGATATTCGAAGTTCAAAGTGACATTCACTTAGTACTATACCCTTGACTGTTTGCCGTAAATTTCTTATTAGCTGGACGGCTGATTCAATGCTTTTCTCCTAAAAGTTTGGTGCCAATCAACAAAAATAAGACATTTAAAAGCTTGGTGAAAAATATTATTGAAGCTCTATAAACTGACAGTGTTTTTAAATTTGAAAAACACAAGTCATTTGAAAAATGGTTCTGAACATATTTACACAATTTACTTTATAGTTCATAGGTAGTATCTGTCCATTTATTGTTAATTATCATAAAAATGCATTATACTGAATACTATAAAATTATTTTAAATGTTTTTATCATAGGCGCAATTTGAGGAGGCCTTGGGTGTGCTTAGTACCCTCATTTTCAAAATTAGCACCCCCAAATGTGTTCATGTTAATTTACATTTAAGTACTCAATAGTCATTATGTATAGAAAAACAGAGTTTTTATTGTATAAATATACACATTTATAAATAATGGTGTTGGAAGTTCGTCCTTCATCTTTTCGGTCCTCGAACTGGATAATAGTAATAGGTAGGGTTACCAGATTTTGAAATCCCTAAACCGGGACATTATATTGAATGACTATAATAAGTATATATTTTTTTAATTTAAATATTTATTGGCTAATACAAAAATACATTATTATTGTATATAACCATATCGATTAGATTACCAAATATAATGATAAATTATATTAAATTAATAAATAATATAATATAAAATTTTATTTTCTCCCAGCTTCTATTAACCGGGATAAACTGAATTATCGGCCTGGAAACCGGGACGAGTGGCAAGCCTAGTAGTAATTATACTGAGTTTTAAAGAAATGATAAATCATTTCTTCATCAAAACGGTTCTGAGCAAAGGTTCAATATAAAAATCAACCATTTATAAGTATATTTTACCATTTTTAGTCTAATTATCGGTAGGTTCTTTTTTTATCAATATTTTATTTTTTACAATTTTATTTAATTTCTTTTTTAACCAAATATTTATCTGTATTCAAAGTTTAATTATGATTAGATAGACCAAATTTTTTCAGTAAACATTTAATGTAGTAATTTAATTACTAAATTTAATTACTACATAATTACCTATGTAATAAAATATACCTGTTGTTTTTTAAAACCTGGAAGATTATTATCTTCATTGATTGAATCATTGTAAATTATAATCTTTTCGGTAGTTTTAAAGACATTATTAATTTCTATTAATTTATAAGTCAAATCATCATGTAATTCAGAAAGTTCGTCTCGAATCCAATAAAACTTTTTTTTTGCCATTTGTTTATACCATAAGTAAAAGCATTTATGAATTAAATACCTTTTAAACAGGTTCAGCTGTGAAAAATAAATAGATTCAATTAATCTGTTATTAGAAATTTGTTTCTAATAATTATAAAATAAATTTATACTG